TTGGTTAGCAGCTCAGCACTGAACTACTGCACTACACTAGGGCTCCTTCTCCCTAAACAGTAAGAATATAAAATAATCTGTCCTCTCTACTAACAGTGATAGCGTAGTGCCTAAGGCACTTGACTGCTAACCAAAAGACTGGTGATTCAAAACCACCAGCCACTCCTCGGAAGATGGGGCAATCTACTTCTGTAGTGATACCGCCTCGGAAACCCAAGGAGTCGCTATGAGTCAGGTCCAACTCGACAGCACATAACAGAGTCAGGAAAGCAATGCCAAGTTCAGAGATGGCAGCATTAGGTTACGGTGAGCCTGTGTATAATCTTAAAGGTTAAAACAGACCAGGGAATGATCAAGGAGATTCAAAAGAGCACGAAAAAACCAAAACCAAACTCACTGCCTTCGTGTTGATCCTGACTCAGCGATCCCTCCTTGGGTTTCCAAGGCAGTATCTCTATGGAAGTAGATTACCCAATCTTCCTTCCGAGGAAGGGCTGGTGGCCTTCTTTCTAGTTAGCAGTCAAATGCCTTAGGCACTATGCCACCAGAGCTCCCACAGGAAACTGGGAATGGCATGGGAAATGGAGTTGATGCACATTAGGAGGCAGAGTGAGAATGATCTCAATGACGTAGGTTAGGACTCTGGTAATAACCCTAAAATTAGGTTAACATGTGCACCTGAATATCAGAGAAAAGTCAGTTTCCATTTCAAATACCAAAGGTGGCTAGGATGGATCCCCTTTTGCACATGCAGAATTTCAGATACCTCATTTGTAGTGAAGTGCAAATATGCACTCAACCCATGTGCCACCAAGTATACAAAGAAACTTTAAAATGTAATATAGGATGGATCATAGCAGCACAGGGATCAATATCTAATTGTGGAGCCTTATGATTGGACTTCAATTTTTAACATGTACTACCTGTTAACTCTGGGAGCTCTGGTAGCATAGTGGCTAAGGCACTTGACTGTTAACCAGAAGGCTGGAGGTTCAAACTCACCAGCCACACTCCTCGGAAGGAAGATGGGGCAATCTACTTCCGTAGTAATACTGCCTCGGAAACCCAAGGAGGGGTTGCTATGAGTCAGGTCCAACTTGACGGCACATAACCACCACCACCACCTATAACTCTGGACAAGATACTCAACTGTTTCCATTGACGTAAACAGGCAAAACAGGACTTAAGGAGTCCTGGTAGCACAATGGTGAAGCAGTCGGCTGCTAACCCAAGGGCTGATATCGGTTCACACCTACCTGGCAGCCCTGCAGGACAAAGACCCAGTGATCTGCTTCCTTCAAGTCTGCAGCCAAGAATACTCTGGAACAGTCGTACTGTCTCTTGGGATCACTGGAAGTTGGAACTGACAACAGCACGTAACTAAGCAGTACTTATTCCCAAGGTTTTCGGTATACACCTACTCCTCACCAACTCTCTCAGTATCAGACGTGTCGTATTTTCAACAGTATAAAATCTACTATCCAGCTATGATGTGCAACGATGACATTAACGCTGAGGTGCAAGGTGACAGTCACGCTGGTTGTGGTTCAGGCTGTGTCCACTAGGTTAGGCAACGATTCCCGGTATTTGGCAGTTATGTAATGACAAAATCACCCTCCATCTTAGCATAACGTAGGTTAAGTAAAGAGTTGGGGTTGTGTAAAATGCTTAGAACGTCATACGGCTTATATTTATTGCTACAGAAATATTTGTCCTTGGTTAAAATACACATATTCTAGTTACAAGTTAACCATTAAGCACCACTGATCTCTAAATCCAGTTTCATCAAAGTCCACACAATCTGAAACGAGTATAAAATTCACCAAGACAGCTACCACTGCCATCCACTTGGAAGGGATGTAGGAGATCCTGCATAGAGAGGGAGAACAATGTGGAACAAAACTCAAAATCATTTGGAGGCAAAAAAAGAAGGTAGGGACCAGGTTTGCTGGTCCAATGGAGCCTGGTGTAACCACTGAGACTATGGCCCCTAGCTGCCCTTCAGGTCTGGAATTGAACACACAACTGTGGTTTCCAGCCAAACAAAGTACAGGCATGTGAGTTAAACATTTACCTCAAGTAGACACACGCTCTGGAGAGAACAATCATGGGAGAAGGAAGGGCTGCTTATGCACAGGGAGATAGCTCAGGGTGCAGAAGAGTATGAAGGGATGGACACTGGGAGGAGGTAACTATGGGGAGAAAGTGGGAGGGGAGCTGCTGCATTGTAAATTTTGGTCAATGACATGAGACAAAGTATATGTGAACTGCTGTATGAAAGGTGAATTTACTCTGTAAATCTTCACCCAAATCCTAATTAAAAAAAAAAAAAAAATTTACCAAGAACAGGAGCCTTTAAGCTATTTTCAAGTAGTTGCCTTCAAAGGCAATTTCCTGATCCTTAAAATCCAACTACTTAATACACTGAGTAATCAATTTTCCCTGAGCTTAACTGTAATGCAACAAATTAATCTTCCATGTTTTTGTAGTATTATTTTTCCACAATGACTCAGAGGGACTAATATCAAATTAAGGAGCTCTGGTGACAGTGCCCAAGGCATTTAACTGCTAACCAGAAGGTTGGTGGTTCAAACCCATCAGCTGCTCCTCAGAAGGAAGACTGGGCAATCTACCTCTGTAAAGATTTTATTGCCTCAGAAACCCAAGGGAGAGTGCGGTGAGTAAAAATCGACTTGATGGCAGTTTCCTAACCATTAATCAACTGAGCATAGCATATTCTTTGTCGAACAGTAAACCATCTTGTATTTTTAAGCAGGTGCTAAATTTTAATTGTGAAGATCCTATTACCCAGTGAATTAGGAAACAAAGTGTGCTTTAAATACGACATCTTTAGGGGAGAACACATCACATTTCTACATAATTAGCATCCCAGCCCTAGCGTTTCTCCATCCCAGGCAGCTTTATTTTACACCTGTTAGGCCATGAATTCATAGGGAATGGGCTCCAGCAGCTGAGGCTCCTTTCCATTGGTTCTCACAAAGTGTGCTTCTCGGGGTGGAGCAGGCTAGTGCAAAAAAAAAAAAAACAAAAAAGGCAGGTAGATAAGTAATTATGTAAAATATTGTAACATATTGCAAAATGCTCAGAACCAACGAAATATAAACCCAATTCTTTGCTAACTTTTGTAAAAGTCTCGCTGCGTAACAATTTTAACATCTCCCCACTCTGACGCCAGGAGTCCCCGAGCACTCACCTGGCGCTTCAGCTGCACCCAAGTCCCCTTCTCTTTGGCTTCCTTCTTCTTCTGATCGTTCTCCTTCACACGCTTCAGGAAGCTGTCCCGGCTCTTAGAGTGCTTAATGTGCTCGATGCGCACGTTGATTCTCTTGGCAAGGATCTTGCCCCTGGAGACAACAAAACTTCTTCAGAAAACATTCTCGGCTGTTTCACTTCTTAATAAGCCAGGAAACATTCTGACTGATTTCACTGGAAGGCAGCCTCGAGGTAAACATCCTTGTTCCTAAGCTCTCTTTTTTAGTAACAGAGCACAGCCCGAGATTTAAAGTAACTGAACCAAAAGCAGATCCCTAAGCTCCCCACTTCTGAAAACATGCTTCTTATACTCTGAACACTAGGACTGCTTAAACCCAAACTGCTCAAAACTTCCCAGCGAGTCTGTTTCGGCCTGTTTCCTCTGACAGGATACAAGACAAACACCCAGTTTGCCTGAGTTTTAAAAGGAGATTTCCTTTGCCCCGCTCGAATGACCAATAAAGACATAAGTCCAATTGGCAAAGTGAGAAGGGGGCCCGAGGGAGTATGAACTAGCCACAAAGAACGGGGACATTACATACTTAACTTGTTTGTTCACAACAATGCCAACAGCATGCTGGGTAACGTTGTAGACTCTGCCCGTTTTGCCATGGTAACATTTGTGGGGCATGCCTTTTTGAACAGTGCCCATGCCCTGTGAGAAAGAGGAACATGTTATCCTGGCACTGCCTCCTGCCTGTGAACTCAGGACTTTCAAGTAACTATGAAATTCTAAGCCTTTTTCTCCTTTGAAATGACAACTCAGAGCTTTCAGAGCCGGTGAAATGGGTTTTTCACTTTGCTTCAAAGCAATCAAAGAGATGGTCATCACGAAGCTCTGGAGCGCCAGGGGAGCGCCAGGGGGCGCGCACACATCAGTCACCGGGAACAGCCTTCACCTGTGCTTTTATAAAAAATGGCAGATCCATCCTCCCCAGGAATTAAATTTTATATTATTCCTTTTTTACTAGATTTAATCCAACTTTTCTAATATCCAGTGTTATATTCCCAATTTTATAAATTTACCTTGATGTCTACAATATCACCTTTCTTGTAGATTCGCATATATGTGGCCAAAGGAACAACTCCTGCAAAATATTGTTACCGTCAGTTATCGAGACAGAAAGTCTATAGTAAAACACAAAACGTACAATTTTATTACACATCAAAAGAGTTTAATCCTCTGCCAATAAATATTCAGTTGAAATTACTAAACATACATACATACAAGTCATGCTTTTAATCTACTACAAAATAAATAGACGCTGGTTACTTAATACTATTGGTTAAGAATATATTATATGAATCGTATCAGTAAAATGCAACCATATGCCAAATCTGCAGATGCACTCACCATGTTTCCTAAAAGGCCTAGAGAACATGTAGCGGGTGCCTCTCCTCTTTCCCTTTGTGTTCGTCATTTTGGCCAATTACTGAAACCACAAAGTATTATTAAGTAATGTGAACCTCAAAATTAAGATTTGCTCTCTATACAAAAAAGTTGGTCAATATCAGATGTTTGCATTTTTGGAGTGACATCAGCTTAAACAATTAGGGAACAACCTAATAAACCAGATCTTACCAGTCATCATTTCTTTCAAAGGTGAAAATGACCATTTTACCTTTTAAAAAGATCAATTAAGATTGTTGCCAAAATTGCCTAAGTTCTAATAACATTATTTTCAGAACAGGGAGAAAGGCAAGCCCCAAGCACCACCACGAACATGACGTCAGCCCCTAGAGCCTGGAGAGCTGACGGCCATATGTCACACTCCAGGCTCCAGTGATCACTAGTTCTGTGGCCCTGGGCAAGGCACTTACCCTTGCTGAACCTGCTGCCTCATCTGTAACTGTCAATCTCACAGAGGTGTTGAGAGGATTATACATTTAAATAAAATAAAAAACCCACTGCCATTGACTCATAGTGACCTCCCCAGAGGGTTACCAAGGGTATAAATCTTTACAGAAAATGCTCCATCTTCCTCCCTTGGAGGAGCAGCTGGTGGGCTTGAGCTGGCAGCCTTCAGGATAGCAGACAGCCGCCTTACCCACTGCTCCACCAGAGTTCTCTCTCTTTCTATATATAAACTAAAAAAACACCCAAACTCACTGCCATCGAGTCAAATCCAACTCAGCAACCCCTCCTTGGGTTTCTAAGGCAGTATCTCTGTGGAAGTAGATCGCCCAGTCTTCCTTTCAAGGGGTGGCCAGTGGGTTTGAACCACCAGCCTTCTGATTAGCAGTCAAATGCCTTAGGCACTACGCCACCAGAGCAAGCGTGCTCTCTATACATCCCCCCCGCAGTTTCCATTCCTTGCTTTCTACCAAGGTTGGGAGTATCTGACCCATCTTTGAAAGCAGGTAAGAAAGCTAATAGTTTTCCAGATGAGGATACAGGCTTGTAACTGTAACCGAGTCACGTAAGTTAAACTCCTAAGTAGAGAGCTGAAATCAGAACCCAAGGCAATACAATGCCACAATATAAACACACAATAGGACCTCTACCAGGCTATACCTGGAGAGCCCAGTCGAGGGTGCTAAGGGCACTGCGGTTAAGAGTGCACCACACCCAGCTGTCAGCTCTACAGGGTCTGTCAAACCCCTTGTGCATCTCATCTAGTGACAGTACACCTCACACACATCTACTTAACCGTCAAAAATTATCTCCAGCTTTTTCATACTTCTAACTACCTGCTGGGAGACCTACATCTTCTAACTCTCATCCTCAACAACAGCCATTGAGGATCCAACCTTTCACCTTGTTCCCCAAAAGATCAAAAGAGCTTGTTGAGACCCCCGAGACTATGGCCCCTAGTTACCCTTCAGGTCTGGAACTGAACTCACTCCTGTAACTTCCAGCCAAACAACAGACAGGCATGTGGGGTGAACATTTACATCAGGTGGATACACTCCTTAGAGCCATCAATCATGGGAGAAGAGAAGGGCACAGGGAGGTAGCTCATGGGGGGCAGGAATGTATAGGAAAGGAGGATGCAGGGAGGAGGTAACTGCAGAGAGTAAATGGGAAAAGCTGCTACCTTGTGGGAGATTGCAGTCAATGTCATGAAACAAAACGTGAATGGACTGCTGTATGGAAAATGTGCTCTGTCAACTTTCACCCAAATCACAATAAAAACAGTAATAAAAAGTCAAAAACGTGTCTTTGTTCTCTTCTGGTCAAAGACATAAGTGCCATTTCTGGCAATAATTCCTTTAAAGTAAAATATACCAGAGTTAAGTTTAATCCAATGACAGTCTTATGACATGTGTAACATAAACTGGTCTCAACACAGAACTGATTCTTCGTTTGTGTGCCAAGTTCACCTAACCCACCCTACTAAAACCACTGTTACACACATCATGTACTTAAAAAAACAACAAAAACCTATTCGTGCCAAGTCCCCTGTTCTAACCCTCAAATGTTCTGCATTTATGAACTGGTGTATTATAAAATGAGATGCCCTGCAGGTTGAAGTCACAATGTGGCAGACACAGGGAAGTTATTTCTGACTCGAGTCTATGCCCCTTTCACGAGTAAGAAATCCATTTTACATCGCGACCCAATACACGTTAAGACTGAGTTTTTTAAAACAGTAAGGTGTGAAGCACTGATAACGTTAGTGCACCCTGCAGTTTGAAAACCAGTTAAGACAAGAAGGGTGTTCAACTCTACTACCCAGCTGTTAACGTCCAAATTAGGCAAAAAGATGAAAACTGCGAGTTAAAGAGATTATTAAGTAACTTTTTCATTACACTTCTAAACAAAACATTCAGGAATCCCTTCACCCAACACATGCTACCCTCGAATTAACCAAACAACACATCTTGGTGCAATGCTGACTTCTACTAAGTGTTTTCCCTTTGTTTGCGATCCAAGGTCAAAATGAAAAACTACTGGGACACATGTCACGTATTAACGGAGATGACTTGGGGTTTATTAATCAGGTCGACTCCGGGCAACCACTGTATCTCCAACCAAGACTCCATACATACCTAAGCCTCACTGGAGGCTAAAGCCGACGTCTGATTTTAAACCCGTTCCTCCTTTCCCGAAATCCCAGCCCAACAGGTTTAAGTTTTAGATTAGAGACAAAAATTGATGCACTGAAAGGGATTCGGAAGTCATTATGCCACGCGACCCCAGAGACTACCGGACAGATTCCGGAATTCCAGGGTTGAAGCCGTGGGTACTTGAGAGTCGAAATCATTTCCTCCCTCCAGTGACTCGGCCTTGTCTTGTTTCGCAGAACCGTTCCCCCTGCAAGGCTGAAGCACTGTATTGCCGTCCTCACATCCCGGCCCGAGGCAAGCTGCTCTCAGTCTGGGAGATGGCACCACCCGCCCACGCCAATAGACCTCAGACACGCTAGACAGCCTCTCCGCAGTCTCAATATAGACCCTCAGCAGTCCCAGAGTTAAGGCTTAAGTTTGCAGAACCCGGTGCTCCGGGAGCCACGCGCCAGACCCACCTGCAAGATGGCGGTTCCGGCCGAAAAGAAAGAGGCGGAGTCGTGGCGGAAGACTTACAAGTGTCTGCGGGCTGCCCGCAGCGCTGCCTGAATGGAACGCCCGCCGAAAGCGACTCTTTCCTTGGGAAGGGAATGTGAGAACAAGAATCTCTTCTTGTTCCTGAGAGCAAGAAGAGTCTGTGAGGATAGACTCTTTCTTGCGAAAAAGAGATAATCAACTAACATTAGCTGACATTTGGATCTTGTCAGACAGCCCATAAAGGGGCCTTCGAGAGCATCAATAGGACGTGATCCCTAGCGTCGCGACGTTCGCCCCTGAGTCAGAGTGGACGCCGGAAGCAGGCTTGCGTCTGCGTCCCAGGAGGGGAGGGAAAGCTAATCATACGGTGTCTGACCCGTTAAGAGCGTGGCTGACTTTCGTTTGCAAGAGTGGTTACGTGGGTGCGTCAATCCATAATGAAGCAAGAGTACGATCCCATTTATATGTCCTTTCAGGAGTTTTATTTTTTCTTACGCGTGCATACATATTTTATGCCAGTGCTGAAGGGTGCGTAAATTGTTACAATTTGGAAAGCATTTGGCAAAATCTAGTAAAATTGAAGTTTTCAAATACTAAATCCTGGCATCCAACTCTAAATTTATGTTCTAGAGGAACTTTCACATGCGGACAAGGATGTACACAGCAGCGCCATGGATTGTTGCTATGTTGTTGTTGCTATGTGCCGTGGAATTGAACTGACTTACAGCGACTCCTCCTTGGGTTTCCAAGGCAGTATCACTACGGAAGTAGATTGCCCAACTTTCCTTCTCAGGAGTGGCTGGTGGGTTTGAACCGCCAGCCTTCTGGGTAGCATCAAGTGCCTTAGGCACTATGCTACCAGAGCGCCATAGATAGTAGCACAAAATTAGAAATGTCCATCAATAAATCAGTAAATGAGTGAATCAATACTTTGTACGGTATTTACACAATGGGTTATTATATGCCAGTGAAACAAGATCATAATATATGTACTATGATGAGGCAAAAAGAGGAATATGTATAATGAATATATATAATACATATATATGCCAAAACGCACTGCCATCCACTTTATTGTAACTCATCTAGCAATTCCCATTGGATTTCCAAGGCTGAAAATGTTTACAGAAGTGGATTGCCTCATCTTCCTGGTTCAGAGCAGCTGGTGGGTTTGAACCACTGACTTTCTGGTTAGCAGTCAAATGCCTTACACACCATCTCACCAGAACTCCCTCTCCCTCCTTCCCTCCTCCTCCCTCCCTCTCTCTCTCCCCCTCCCTCCCACTCTTTTTCCCTCCCTTCCTTTCTCTCTCTCCTTACCTCCTTCCATCTCTCTGTGTATGTGTGTGTATATATATATTCACTTGGACTCAGCCATATACAACAGAACTAAACAAGGCCTGGTCCTGCATCATCCTCCCAATCAGTTCATTATCATTAGTATGTATCGTTGCAGCGACCATGCCAGTCCATTTCACTGAGGGGTCTCCCTCACCCTCCCTGTTCGTCTACTTCACCAAACTTGATACCCTCCTGTGACTGATACCTCCAGGTGACATGTCCAAAGGGAGAGAACCAGACAATATTGTAATCCATCATGTTTTCATGGGCAGGTTTTCAGAAGTAGTTGCCATAACTTTTTTCCTAGTCTGTCTTAGTCTGGAAGCTCCGGTGGATACCTGTCAAGCACTGGATCTGTCGCCTGGAGTGACTTAAACCAATAATGACATACCCAAGTGAAGAGCAAAGGACACGACCTTTATTAAGGTCATGCATGAGCTGAGACAGAAAGGGGAATTCCCTCAGATTCTGTCTGCCTCTAGGCACTTTCCAAGTTTTTTAATAGGATGAGAATTACATCAGAATTGTGTTATACATACAATTTCATATAATTGCAGGTTACATATGTGCAAGATAGGATACAAAGATGGCGGCTCTTAGCACGTCTCATTAGAACGTTAAATCTGTGCCCAGTGAAGTGATATATTAGTATGCTAAAGTCTCCTTCGAGAGCTCTGGTGTCGTAGTGCCTAAGGCAGTTGACTGCTAACCAGAAGGCTGGCCGTTCAAACCCACCAGCCACTCCTCAGAAGGAAGACTGAGCAATCTACTTCTGTAGAGATACTGCCTCGGAAACCCAAGGAGGGGTCGCTATGAGTTGGAACCAACTCAATGGCAGTGAGTTTGGTTTGGTTAATATTCCCTTTTAGGTAGCTTCAACCTGTCCTTGAGCTTTTATGGCTCACTAAACCTCCTGACTGTTTGTTATTTTTTAAAAGCTACATTTTTCTTCTCTTATCTCACTAGGAGGAACAGGGTAGAACTCCTAGAACACTATGCATTCTTTCAAGAAAACACTGTGATCATTCTCACCCCCCCCCCTCCTTTGAAGCCACTGATGCTTCATTAATTGCCTGGCATCAGTTACTTCACAGATAGGTTCTAACTCACAAAAGCTTGTGGCCATGCCGCAGGGTGAAGGGAAGGGGGTAGGGTTAGCTTGGAGAAATAACTGCTTGCATCTTCCAGGGCCACGGGACTGAAAGACAAGAGAGTATAGACGGGACTGAAAGACAAGAGAGTATAGATATTCCTAGGATTAACAGTTGATTCAACTCATAGCTTCTCCTTGGGTTTCCGAAGGGTATCTCTACGGAAGTAGATTGCCCAACCTTCCTTCCGAGGAGTGGCTGGTGGGTTTGAACCTCCAGCCTTCTGATTAGCAGTCAAATAAATGGAAAGCCTAGGTGATAAGAAATTGTTGCAGCATGATCATCATGCTTAAATTTCATTGTGGATGTCAGCTGTCCCATTCCATTGCGATGGGGCCACTATCCTCTAGAGGCAAGGGATCTGGATGGGGCCCAGTGGATGCACAAGGTGGCCAGAGTTTGTGATCTTAACACATTGTGCTGAATTCTGTTGGTACTCTTAGTGTGGATCAGGTAAACTCCCTTTTCTTTAATCTACTGTTCCTGGTGAAGTAGGTGGTCCCAGGACACCATATGAAGGAGAGTGAGAACACATCTAGCAGTTCTTGGCCCATTGGGTTTGATTCAACAAGGTCTACTGAAATGGGATGGAGATGTTAAATTTCTAGCCATTTTCACTGAAAGACACAAAATACAGGCTAAAAAGGAAGGAAAAAAAAAAAAAAAAAAAAACCTCACTA